TATTTTAGCAACAATTTTTTTCTAAATAATTTGGCTTAAAAATAATACTGTCACATAATAATTTTGTTATTTACATAAAATTTAATTTAAACAATATTTAAATTTCAATATTGAATTAGAGAAACTTCTTTGAACCAAATACAAATTACAATACTACTGTGAATAATCATAAGAAAATTTACCTGATTTTCTCGTACTGCTTGTGCTAAGCGTCTTAGCCACATAAAGAGGGTTATTATCACGCAGAAAACGATAAGCAGAATGATTACAGAGCCAAAAAAAGTTTCTTCAATTTGCACGACTTTGCTATCGTACAGCAAAAATTTCAGTATAGTTTTGCTTACTAAGTCAATTATATTTTGAATTTCAGTGTCATCACGCAACATATATCCTTGGCTAGACGTGAAAACCGGAATGGATCTCAGATTTCTCCTCAAAATTCACCATCATGACACAGTGACAGTAAGTTACAATCATAGATAACTACTATCAGTTGACGTAAGCCTTACAAATGCAGAATTAATTTGACTACAAAAATTTTATATTTAACATCATTCTTTTAGTACCTTAATTATTTGAATAAACTTTAACAATGCTATTATCTAGCACTGACGCTAATCATAATAATTGTAAGTATAATCAGTAACCGCTACTGATCAACCTTGAAAAAAGATTAAATCTTGCACAATCACTTAGCAACCTCTGATGTTATTTTTCACTGCTACAAATATCAGAAAAAAGCTTGCGTGTGCTTTTTTTAAACAAATCAGTAAAGTTAGTAGCTAATTTTGATCGTAATATTGCTAACAATGATTTCGATCTTAAAATGACTTGATTTGTTTAAAAAATTTATCAAAATCTAACAATAATAATCGCCAACCAATTGTGTTTTTGCTTACAAAAAATAATCCATGCGCACAAAATTGAAAGCAGTGATTACCTACGAAAAGGTTTCAAGCTATCAGCTGGCAAACCACACCGAAGGATTCTTCGAACGATAGGGTGCAGATGTTCTCGAAACCACTTTCGAGGCAATGTTTTAAAAAAACGTTGCATTGATAAGACGGCAATTTGCCCAAGAAGTAGACCAAGTGCTTGCAATATCATTTTTAACAATGACATACTTTTCATATCATTCATCTTTATCATTTGTCAATATAGAAATGATTGCTTATTATACGATAATTAATTATTTGATTATTATTCACTGATTAATGGCTTTTTTATTTTCAAAATATTATTATTATGTACAATTTTTTTTGATTAAATATAATATTTTCCAAATTTCAAAATAAAAGCAGAAAACAAGTTATAAGCTTATATGCTGTATATTACTTTATATTTATATTTGCGCTTACTTTGATGGAAATGAGACCCTAATTATAAATACTTTAAGATATATTTAAATGTTTGCAAGACTGAGTTTTCTGACTCTTTTTTAAACAAACCTTAGCACTTACGAAGCTGTCTCAATAAGTGAAGCATTGGATTAAGTTATTTCTTGCGCAATATTTTGTTTAAAACAAATTATCTTTTCATCACTGTATTATTTTTAAAATATTATTCAATTTAATTGCTAGGAAGTAATTGAGCTACTGTTAATTTTTTTTGCAAAAATATATTCATCGCTGAGGAATCACCGCAATTGAATAATTTGAAGGACTACATTCCATCACAATAAAATTAATTATCATTACTTCTTTGCCTATTTAGTATTATTAAGTATCAGCTTTGAGAATGAAAAGTAAGCGTTAATTTAGTTTTAATATAAGTGTTTAAGCAAATATAAAATTATTTACACTTGAGGGATTTGAAATGAAGAAGGATAAAAATTTATTATGCTTTAAACTGATAAGCGTACAAAAAGTAATCTTCTCGTTATTTATATATTTTTTTGACTTTTAGTTGTTAATTCTAGCGTGTCCCATAGAATAATATTTCAGAAGTCTTTGTTGTGCAATGTTGTAAAATTGTTTTTGGTAGATTCTTTCTAGAAGATTAATTATTTTCTGAAATATCTTGAAAAGTATGTATTACGTTCAAACCACAACAACTAACAATGTACCACCTTCCTGTGTTTTACTCGTTTTGCTTCTCCTTCTGAAATAGAACATTCTGTATCAATCACTCATTCCTTTCCTTCATTCACTACATATTAGAATTATTAATCCGTTAATTCGTTAATTTGTCTATCACTGGTGAAAACTCCATTCATTACTCATCAAATAATAAATTATCATATCTTATCCATACTTTTATTACAAATTAATCCTTCTTTTGATCTTTTCAATATTTTATAGCAAAGTTCTGCAATGAATAATTGTAGTCTAAGATGGATGCATTCCCGATATGTATTAATATGTGAGAATTTAAATCTTTTTAGTCAAATATTAACTTGAATAATTGTAGAAGTAACATAGCTCATTAATAGTCTTCAATTACCATAGCTACAAACTTTGCAATTGCAGTCCTATGTTCTACGTTTTAGCATTAAATTTTGATATCATATCGATGTATCTTACAGAATCAAGTGGATATTTTATGATTTATAGCTTATGGAATAATAATAATAACAATAATAATAATAATAATAATATCCCATGTGAGCAATCTTATGTTGACATCGGTTCAGTCAACAGTTAGACAGTTTGTTTACACGTCTGATAAGCGAGCTAAATACACAGGAATAAAAAGTAAAACTTTGTTTCATTTGCATACTTTTATGTATTCTCACTGAACATGATAACAGTAACAGTCCAAATTGATTAAATGTACTCACAAATTTTCTTCATTGCTCCAAACGATTATTTTCCACTGTAGCATTTCAATATCATAATTACTGTCTGAATCCGTCACAGTACAAGAATCTTACTCATAAAGTCTAATAATTTGTGAGGAAAGGCTTGTTGGAACTTCTTTGAGGTCCGGCATATCGATACAGCCTAGCCTCACCCAAGGAAGTACCAGAAGAGTTGATATCGCTCCCATGAACGACTAAATTACTCATTGTAACCCGAGTCACCTCGAGAATAATTTAGTGCTTTAGAGGAAGCCGACCTCCAGTAGGTACTGAACTTGCACTTATATTCCCATTACCAACGAATTCACCACACAACCACCACATCCCGAACTGTCTCGATTAAAGTTCTTATATCAAATGCCCCATAATGCAAAGAAATTATATATTCACAGATGTATTAGACTATGTACGGTAGTAGCCTATATATTTTTTGTATCAGCACCTGCTATATCTCTTAGTATCTACTATATTTGGATTTGGGATCCTAATTACATTACCAAGGTTAGTTTACATTTTTAAATTTGAACTACTTAATTGAAAACATAGTGAGTATTTCAAATTTTTACAAAGTATTACTTATTTTAGATTATCTGCTGAAATTCAAAAATATTTTTTCACTAATTATTTGTGCTGAAATATTTACAGTATAGTATCAGTATGTACTGAAAAAAAAAAATCATTTTCCATTCGGAAATCAGTACAGTAGTAATGTTTTATTTTGCTCAATTACCATTGATAAATGCAAGTTACGATGTTTCAGTTTCCAGCAGATAAGAATAGTACATCGAGCAACAACTTCGAGACATCTTTAAGACGAGAAGATAGTTCTGACTTGCCAAGATGTAATACTCAAATTTTTTCTAACAAAAGCAGAAATAAAGTCTTTGCTAGCACTACTCTACATCCTATGCTAAATGCCAAAGCTGAACAGTTTACACTTCGAAAATCACCGAAAGTAGCGAAAGTTCACGGATTGATACAGCAGATGACAGCATCAAACACTGCAGGTTCCGTCTACTTCAATATTTCTTAAGTTAAAAACCAACATCGAAAGAATTGGTATAGAAGCATTTAAATCACCTTCTTCTTGAGATTAACCTGAGGAATACACACTTAAACTCTATCACATACTTTTAAAACTTGATACCATCTTTTTATTCATCCAATTTCAGATCAACAACGCTCAACAATGAGATCACAATTATAGCATTCGAATGCTTACAATTCACTTCTAAGCTTTATCCTCACTTACGTCAGTCAAAATGATTATTAGATGAACAAAACTCGACTGACACTAAATATCAAGAAAAGCTTACTTCAAAGCCCTATCTTGCCTTTTTTTATTGGGAAATTCGAAAACAGAAAGAAACTACTTGAATTACAACCCTCATAGGCATCCAAATATATATTACTAATTGTTATTTCTGCCTTACAAACTTACATTATTATCCAAAAATAACTTAGATGGACGTACAAATCACAAACTTACTCCAATAAAGTAATCATATTTGTAACAATCTTGATAACCTTTTTTATTTCTCATTTAAATGCACTGTTTTCTTCTATGTGAATTTTTAAATTTTTATAGGATATTTTAATCTGTTCATATGTTTATATCTAATCCCTAAATAATACAAATTAGGTCAAAATCAGGTGAAAAACCAACACAATTCACTAGTTAGACAGTAAATAAAATGGTGTATGACAAATTATAGTACCAAAAAAACAATTTTAATGAATAGAAATTTCACTTTAAAAAAATCGTCCAGTACTTATTCATTTTCACAATCTGGAGATGATGATGACGTGCATACCAAACAAAACCTACAAAAAAATTGAAGTGATAGGCTTAGATAAAAATGTTCCCTAAATACTACAAAACTCGCTTATTTAAATACTTTGTTCAACATTTCCCTCATCCATTTTGTCAGTTCCAAATCTAGTCGGAATCGATTCCTCTTCGCAATTTTTCAGAGCCAAGATCAAAATATCTTTCAGTTGCTCTATTCGATCGCGATCTTTTTCGTACGCTTTCCCAGCTTTCAAATACTGAAATGTAATTAAGTATGGATTTTTTTTTCTGTTCTCACATTTGGCTGAGGCATTACTGACAGACAATGCTGCTCGTCTCATTTCAGTATTAGACTGATTCTTATTCCTAAATAATATAAATTAGGTCAAAATCAGTTGAAAAATCAACACAATTCACCATTTAGGCAGTGAATAAGATGGTATATGACGAAGCATGGTGCCAAAAAAGTAATTTTAAAAAACAGAAATTTCACTTTAAAAAAAATATTGTCCAATATTTATTCATTTTCACAATCCTGAAACGATGATGACGTGCATACCAATTAAAATCTACAAAGCAAACTGAACTGATGTGCTTAGCATAATAATGTTCCCTAAATACTACAAAACTCGGTTATTAAATACTTTGTTCAACATTTCCCTCATCCATTTTGCCAGTTCCAGATCTACTCGGAATCGATTCCTCTTCCCAATCTCTCAGAGCCAAGATCATAATATTTTTAAGTCGCTCTATTCGATCACGATCTTTTTCGTACGCTTTCTCAGCTTCCAGATACTGAAATGTAATTAAGTATGGATTTTTTTTATTGTGTTCTCACAATTGTTAAAGCATTACTGACGGACAATGCTGCTCGTCTCATTTCAATATTTCACTGATTTCCCTACTCCAACATTACATCCAACTTTAATGGTCAACAAAATGCACAGACAAAACTGATAAAAACACTACAGAAATTGTTTCTGTAGTGTTTTTATCACAAAAAATTTTATTTTAGGTCAACTTAATTTGAGTCATCAGGACAATGTAACTATGAAAAAAGGACCTTAAAACTAGAGCGACAGCAGTTAAACAATTTCCTCATGCTGAGAATTTAAAAGTTTCGGTCATTTTAAATTGGAAAAAAGGCTATACTTAAAAATTTAACAAACTTCTTTAAGAAAATCATTCAAACAAACGGCTAAATTCTTCATGTCAGCATTAGCATCTCGATATAATGCAGCGATATCATTTTTTACTTTTCCAATTTCACGTTGCATTTCCCTATTCCCTTTATCAAAATCTTGCATGCGACGACGAATATCTTGTACTTGACTGTAAATTCAGCACTTTCAAAAGCATCTTAAATGGAGAAAATGAATTATCATCCTAATCTAATAAATCAAACATGATTTACATATCTAAACAGATTGCTTTAAAATGAAAAAGAAAGATCCTAAGAGATTTCTGTAAAAATAATCAAATAATGAAAGAAAACGTACTTCCTCAACGTTTCTAAATGCTCAGAGATGGCCTGTATTGACTGTTGATGAAGCAGTTCTTCTTTTTGAAACTCACTTTCCATTGCAGATATTTTATTTTCATCTTTCAATAGACACTGTTCAGTCTCAGTACACTTCTCATTTTCCAGTTTGAGCTGATCTACTGCTTCAGTTAACTTTGCCTCAACCTCTGCGCCCTTTATCTATAATAAAATCTTGAGCGAAAATACTATCCTTTCAAAATGAAGAAAAATTATCGACAACACAAAAAATGAACAATTTTTTTCCTAGACAGTGTGATCAATTATTAAGAACGAATCTTAAATCACTACAAAACAATCGGTACCTGCTTTAATCATGGTGAAAAGATAGAAAATTATCGCGAAGTGTGAGATTTAAAGATAGCCTGATTGCTGGCGTTACTTTTTCCTCTTCACTAATACTGTACATGCATAACAATTTCGGTGCTTTTCAATAGCAGAAAGATTCAAATATTAAAAGAAAATATAAGGACCAACAATATTTTTCGAACTCATAATTACCTGACGTTCTGCTATTTTGTTCAGTATTTCTGTAAGATGTTCTAGTGAACGAATGATCGTACCTCTCGTTTTTTGCTTCTCTTTGTAATCCCATTTTTTGTGACTACAATTTCAAAAAGTATCGCATTAGAGATAATTGAACTGTCCACATAACGATCTTTTTTATCATGCAGAATAGAAACAAGCAATTAGCGTAATAATTACTTAAAAAGTTTTTATTTTCTTTAACGTAATTGTACTGATGTTGAGAGTTAAGTGAACATTTTACTATCCTTATCTAACTGACCATTGGCATAAAAATCCATGATTGCAAATACTTCCCAAATCTTCCCCACATCTAATCAATAAAAATTTGT